GGAGGTGGAGATGTGGCAGCGTTTGGCTGGGGGTAAAACGAACCTTCAAGTGCCGACACAAGACACCGTTTAATAAAGTGGATGTACTGTAAATGGGCGCGGTCTCTTTAAAATAGCGGTTGAAAACGTTTTAGTCTGAAGTCACGTTTGGCTGCTTCTTGAACAGAAATGATGAGTTAAGTGTTGCGTTCTTCTCACGCTTTATAAGAAGACTTAATTTTTTGATTTTTTTTTTTTTTAATTTTTCTTTTTTTTTTTTTTGAGATTTTTCTGTCTCAAACCTGACAGAGGGAGAGCCAGGAACCTACCTTGGATGGGCTGTGAGATACCGCTCTAGGAGAGGACGTGAGGGGGGATGTTGTTCTTGGCGCTGTTTCAAGCCTCGTAGTTGTCCTTAACAAAAACTGTTCTGTCGTAACATAAGCCCTGTCCTGTAAACGTGTGGGGGCCTACACTGAACAGAAGCGAACCTCATACTGGTAACAAGTTGGTCTGTCTTAAGACTTTCTTAACGTTGGGCATGGCGCTTGTTCTGCAGAAGTGGCTGTTGTTGTATTTCATGCCGCATCTTTGTCTGATTTTCATGGCATGAAAAGGTCGAGTGTATTTTATGGACGTGTGCGGGGGTCAGCATTTACTTCGACAACGAGACAAGACGTTTGGCTGCTTTTAAGATTGCTGTTGCTTTTTCTTGAATAACGAACCCTGCGTTCGGGTTCCTGCTGGCAACCGAGAGAGTCGCTTGTGATGGTCGGGGTCGGCGCACAGCGAGCGGGGTTAAAAACTGCCCAAGGGGACGCTGGAAATCCATGGCTCCCGGGGAGGTCAAAAGGCAGAGCGTGGGCAGGGGCAGAGGTCTGTGAATGCCTGGAGTATCTTCTGCTTTCTTGTTTGTATAACCTACTTCAGATGTGTCTTACCTGCGGGTTTATGACGTGAGGACGTACTCGGGAGAAGTTACGTTCCCGAACGCGGTGGCAGCACTTGGGCGTTCTGGCTCTGTACCAAAATGTTACTTTTCATGGATAAAATACCTTGTGGCTCCTGGACTGAAGATTCACAACTGTTTCAATTTTTTTCCTAGATTATAGCATTTGATGAACTGAAGACCGATTACAAGAATCCCATAGACCAATGTAATACGCTCAATCCTGTAAGTTGCATGCTAAACATTTTTTTTTTTTTTTTTTTAAAGAAATGTGTGTTTAATGTTTTGTTTTGATGTTATCTTGATACACTCAAACTAGGCAATAGAATTGCACCTGGGTGGACAAAACCTAGCTGTTCGACAGAAGTTCTAGGGAAAAATCTTTGTCTGCTTCTTTACTTTCAACTTGAATATTCTGACTGTTGTTAATCTGCTGGTGATCTTGTCAGCTGTCGTACTAACATTCTTTCAATCTGCTTTCTACGTTTTCGGCACAAAGACAGTTGAAAAGGTCAAAAAGATTAAAAGAGTCAAAATTGCATTGAAGGTGTGTACTGCTTTTTGGTTTAACGTTTTTACCGCCACTTCCATTTTGTTAGGAACGTTTGTAATACTATTGAGCTGTTTCGTTCAGCGTGCCTGTTCATCTGCTCGTTATTTGTTTGTTGGGGTTGATGATAACTTCATGGATTTCCATGTTTTGTGCAAAACAACTCTGCTTGCTTACCCAGTGAAGTGGGGAAAACTGTTACATGCCCGTGATAGGTGTCCTATCGATTAGCTGAAGTAACTTCAGACAGAAATAAATAGTACTTTTCAAGCAAGATTTATTGAACTCTGAGATTGTAGGAGACCAGTTGTTCTTTTTAAGCATCGACCAAGTAAATTCTGCTCTTGTTTGAGGATTTAGGGGGGGTGTAATGTGACAGGCGTTATCTTCACTTCTTTGTTTTATGTTCCAGGATCAGGGGTGTAATCTTGGTGTCCTCTCGGATGCAACTCTGACACTCCTTGGTTTGTGAAAAGACTTTGAGACAAACTATTTGCTTGCATCTGTAACAGGCCAATGACAAAAGGGATACTTGTTAAAGAGCATCGAGTTTGGTGCAGGAGTTTCTTTGTGCATTTCTCACGGTGTTTACTTTGGCTTGGTGTGCCCAGGCTGAGGTAGAATGTAGGGGCAGCACAGCGGTGCGGCCTGGCCTGTAGCTTTATGGTGTTTTGAAGAGTTAAGTAAATGATGCAAATGACAAATGAATTTGCAGTAGCTTTGGGGGGGGGGACAGAGGACACCGCATGTTAGACATACGGCACATAAATTGACGGCAAGCATTGCAGCGTGAGAACGGGCGGGGAGGAGAAGAGGTGATAGGCAGAGGATTGCATCTCAGCGAGTGAGGTTTGCTGCTCGGATAGCTGTGCATCTAACAGTTTCCCTTGCTTGGTCTGTTTTACAGTCATTTCTGCTACCGTATGGGGAAGGCAAATTCTCATTACATCTATGCATTATGATCTTATCGCAACCTTTGAAGTATTATAATGCGCATGTTTAACGCGAATATTAACCTTCTGTTAACCCACGTGCATGTAGCATTTATTGATACGATAGCTTTGTGAATTGAAAATATTAAATAACTTAACTGTTAAGTTAACAACTTTGCTGTTCTTGTGAAAGTAGATTGGCCACTAAAAGTGCAGTTAAGATCCAGGCTCTTGAAGGGATCCGGTAAATGCTGCTGGGCAAGCGCACTGAAGTGTTGTTTCCCTGTTCAAAGAATCAAAAATCCTGGAAGGAATCGAGACACCTCAGTAGAAAGATTAGCCCAAAATAGTAACTGCTTAGTACGCTGTTGGTGCCTTCCCTTCCCTGCTCCTGTTATAGTAGTATCTCTTCTCAGCAACGACATTTCTTCCTCCCTCGCTTCTGTGATAAGTATCACGGTAGGATATGCTGTAGTTAGTTTCCTTTTAGGACAACCAGGGAGGATAAAGTGTGGTAGACTTGAAAGAGACAGGTATTCTGGTGTGGGAGTAGGGTGTAATAAACAAGATAAAGAAAAAGGCCTTTTGAGATGTGTAGTTAAACAAATTACAGATTTTCAGACCTGGTAAATCTGTCTCAGCGGGCTGCCAAATGCGCTGCGTTTTGGATAGGGCGGTGGTTGTTGCTGCTGTTCTACTATAAATAACGGCCAAGTTGTAAATGGTAAGTATACGAAGAAGGATCTGGACAAAAATACTTGAAAGATGTCATGTATGACAGCTTATTTTTGTTGATGTTGATGCGAGTTTGCTTTGTTTGATATTCTCCTTTTAGAGCAGCAGAACGTTGTAGCAAAGTAGGTGGTGAGAGTGTCTGCTTGTTGGTAGTTTTTAGATTTCTAGGGAGATGAGGTTTAAAAGAAGTGTCTGCTTAGAGAGAGTGAAAAAAATTATAAAACACTGCAACTTCGGCGTAGTCGCCCTATGCAACGTTAGTCACATCACACAAAAAAAGAGGGGCGGAGCGCGTGGTGTGTATGCGTGCACATATACATTGACAATTTAAATCTTCAGGTAGAAATGGAGTATTTTTCATGAGGAGATGTTTTAGCGGTCCCGAGTTGAGAAGCGACAAGCTTGCAGATTTGCTTCTTTCTGAATTGTGCGGTAAAGGAGTAAATGACATCACTTTGGGGTGACTCGTTTTAGAAAGTTTAACTCTTGTGGTGGGCGTGAGATTTTGCTGGCTCTTCGCATGCGTTTAAATCTATGTATCTCTCCATATTACTCCTATTAATGACACTAATACTACCTGGCATTTCACGCTTCCTGTGACTTCATAGTAACTGATAATTAGCTCCGTGGGCTTCTGCTGGAAAGCATGATGCTATAAAGCATGCGTATTAGGTACTTGTGGAGGAGAACGAAGCTGGCTAATGCGCCCCGAACTGCGCGTGCATAGCTGCTGTCGTGCCCTCCTGCGCTGCAGGCGGCACAGCGCTCGTCTCTGCAGACCGATGTGCATAACAACGTGACTGCTGATTTGCTGTGATAAAGCTTCGCCCAGGATATTACGTTTTGGCAGTAGTTTGAATTTGAAAAATTACGTACGTGTGAATAGCAAAACGAAGCTGTAAAATAGGAAAGCACAAAACATCTTTTTGCCTATAAACCATTATATGGAGCGCATTTCCTACTGATATTTCTCTGTTGCCTGAGCAGAAATATCTCGATGCTCTCTCTTCTGTTACGAAGGTCACGTATAAAGCGTGGAATCTGTTAACAGTACACTTAATTTAATAGAAGCAATAAAAAAACTACTGATCTGAGCATTTAATTTTATAAATTTTTCTTCTTGGTTCATGAATATCATGTGAAGACAGCAAGGCACGTACTGCTGGTTGCTGTTTTCACTTTCTCTGCAGTCTTGTTCTTGTTAGTGTTGGTTTTTAATAATATTTTTTAAACAATAGCTTACCTCCAAAATAGATTAAACACCACACGTTTTGCTTTGAGTAGTCGAAACTTCTAACTCGTATTTTTCTTTTCCAGCTTGTACTTCCAGAGTACCTCATCCATGCATTCTTCTGTGTTATGTTTCTCTGTGCAGCAGAGTGGCTTACACTGGGTCTCAATATGCCTTTGTTGGCTTATCATATTTGGAGGTAATATCGACGAGTCTGGTATCTCCGTACTCACGTTAATTGTTAACTCGTTCTCCCGTTGCAGTGCTTCCTGTTAAGTGTTCTGTGTCTTTGGCAAATGAAGGTGTTTTCTGATACGACGCTGAGGAAGTTTTTTATTTGTTGTTCTCCTGTGCTATGCAAGAATCGAGTTGTGTGTGTGTATGTGTATGTTAAAGGTAGCTGACATGTGGAAGGTGTACTAGTACTGCAGATTCACAGTGTGGATTGCCAGTAGAAGTGGCAATCCCGCTTTCCTCCTGCCACTAAGACATGGGCACCACCTCTCCTCGTGCTGGTATTAGTCCTGCTCAGGGAGCTGCAGGAGCGAGCTGGTCTGGTTGAAACGTAACCCAGCAAAACAGCTTTCACTGCCTGGCTGTATCTGTGCTAGTCCCGGCGTGAGGAGGAGGTAGGACTCTTTCTTTTATAGAATCACAGAATGGTTTGGGTTGGAAGGGACCTCTCAAGGTCATCTAGTCCACCCCCCCTGCCGTGGGCAGGGACATCTTCAACTAGATCAGGTTGCTCAGAGCCCCGTCCAGCCTGACCTGGAATGTTTCCAGGGATGGGGCATCCACCACCTCTCTGGGCAACCTGGGCCAGTGCTTCACCACCCTCAGCGTAAACAATTTCTTCCTTAGATCTAGTCTAAATCTACCCCCCTTTAGTTTAAAGCCATTCCCCCTTGTCCTGTCGCAACAGGCCCTGCTAAAAAGTCTGTCCCCATCTTTTTTATAAGCCCCCTTTAAGTACTGACAGGCTGCAGTAAGGTCTCCCCAAAGCCTTCTCTTCTCCAGGCTGAACAACCCCAACTCTCTCAGCCTTTCTTCATAGCAGAGGTGTTCCATCCCTCTGATCATTTTCGTGGCCCTCCTCTGGACCCGCTCCAACAGGTCCGTGTCTTTCTTATGCTGAGGGCTCCAGAGCTGGACGCAGTGCTGCAGGTGGGGTCTCACCAGAGCAGAGCAGAGGGGCAGTAGCCTGTGTTAAACGACAATTTTGAGATCGTTTTGCGTTGACCTGTACGAGTATTCCTTCAGCATGGTAGCCAGCATGCGTTGTATTGATGAGTGGAGGCTGTAGGTCACATAGGGTTATATGTTGGTCCCCTCTCCAGCTTTTCCAACCCTTTCATGAGGAATCCCATTTTTCACCTATTTATAAATTTGTCCTGTTTCCTTTTGGTGTGCCAGAGTTCAGCATGTTTAAGGCTGAGGTAAGCCGTCGCGGCACCGCCTGGGAAAGCTCTTCCATAGGCTCGTTTAGTTTGGAGCTTCGTATTGCTCTTGCAGTTCGCCATCTCCTACATGGAGCCGACGGACTTTGCTGCGAGGGGTGTGATTCCTTGTCTCGGTTCTGGTATTACTTGGTGGGTGGGGGGCAGGAACCAATGCTTCCCATTGCCGTCACCGCAAAACTAACTGTGCATCGCTTGCAGGTACATGAGTAGACCTGTGATGAGTGGCCCTGGTCTGTATGATCCTACAACCATCATGAACGCAGATATTTTAGCCTATTGCCAGAAAGAAGGATGGTGCAAATTAGCATTCTACCTTCTATCATTTTTTTACTACCTATATGGGTAAGTTTTTTCTTCTGTCTCTCATCTAATCTTCAGTTTGGTTGTTGTTTTTTTTTTTTTTTTTGATTGGGCTCAGTGCACAAGAGAAAGTTTGGACATAGGAATATATATAATGCCAACATTCCTGAAAAAGAATCCACAATCACTGTTCATTCTGTTTTAAAACGCAAGTCTTAATTTGGTCGGAATTACTAATTTGAATCTGTATACCATGACTGGAGACTTGAAAGCTCTGAGCTTTTCTTTTAAGCTTAATATAATAACTGC